GGTAGCTGATGCGTGTATTATGCGCTGCAGGTGGTGGGGATCTAGGGAATTCTAAGCGCTGTTCATGCGCGCATTGAGTGAAACGGAACGTTTTCTATGTAATTCGTGCGCATAATGTGCGAAACGGAACGCAACCTAAAAGGTTTGTTTTTTATTCCTACACTGAACTGAACTAGAACTAAACTAAAACTAGGGAGTTTAAGCAAGGATTGAGAGTGCAGACTGAAAAGTGCAAGAATAAAAACACTGCAGTGCAAAAATAATGTGTGACAATATAATAAATAAAATAGTAGTATTGGAATTAATAGAATCTTCTGACGAAGATGATCATTAACGATACAGATTATTATTTAACGATACAGATTTATATATTTAAATTTTAAACGTTATATTTTAAACATTATACATTAAAATAAAAGTTAAGTCTTGTTGTTAAGTTTTTTATTTACAAAAATTCTTACTTACAATTTCATACTTACAATTTAATTATCTATTTATGGCGCCTATTTCTTAGGCTGCTGTTCTTGCACTGCTTGCACTGGCTCTAGACCTAGTGCAATCAGTTCAGTGAACTAGTACACTAAGTTCCGCTACACTGTCATAACGAACAGCGTCAGTAATACCAGTTCTGCAATAAAGAACGCTTCAGTGTACACTTTTTGAACTAGTGCAGCCAGTTCAGGAATAAAAAACAAACCTATAGTCGTGACGTATAAGGTTTGTTTTTTATTGCTGAACTTTCTGCACTAGTGTACACTAGTGACACCGAAGCGTTCTCTATTGCCATTGATATAAAGAATACCAGGAAGGAGTATGTTGCGATATATCGCGGATAATCGATAAGATGCATTGGTTCAGTTTTATGACAAATTATAAAAAATTTTTGTATATATTTTTCCTATAAAAAATGAATAAATATGTATAATATATAGTATTTGTATATATATAAAATATATTTATTTATATGCAAAGTGTAATAATGTATACAGTATATACCCAGTGAGCATTATGTTATCAAAAAGAGTTCTTCAAGTACTCAGGTTTGAGAGTTAGACATCCAACAACACTATCTTGAAGATAACATAATGATATCAATAAGCCCTCTAATGCGTCACTTTTAGAGGAAAAAAAGAGATCACATAAATGACATCTAAGAGAATATTAAAATCTGACTTCTCCTAAATATCAAGAAAATGTTAACATTAAGAATTGTTATAGCATTATTTTTAGTTTATAGCACTATTTTATGAATTTAATTATATTGAAAAGGGAACACAATGTTATATACAATACATTACATAACTTTTTTATTATAAATGTAGAATCCATATAGAAACATTTCAGAAATTATGTTGTATGGTACATTTGAGTAATACAAAAAATAATTTTTCCTTATGTGTTTTACATACAAAAATAAAAACATATAATATATGATCCTTACATATAAAAATAATAAAAATATAAAAAGTTATAAAAGTAATATTAAAATTTTATTTTTATATATATAATACTTTTCGTAATTATTTATTTAAGTAATTACTATATTGCACATGTGAAAAATAAAATTATCATGACAATAAAATGCATATATAGAATATTTCAATACCACTTTTTTATAATTTATCAAAACTAAATAAAACAAAAAAATCTATAATTTTTTCTCAAACATTTCATTTCTTCTTTTCATGTCGTTTTGTATTTTGATTTATCCGATCTCCAGCATGCTGTAGCCAGTTTTTAATTACAGTTTGGATGGAATGGGAAGAAATACTCTTTCCACTAATACTGATGATTACTTCTGAAAAAATTCTGTTAATGAATTTTATATAATAAAAAGTTAAAATTATAAATTATTATAAAATTATTAAAATTATAAATTTTTATTTTTATTATATATTTACTATTTTCTAAAAAGATATTCAGAATATATTATATAAAAAATATATTCAGAATATATATTTCAGTATATTATACTCAGAAATTATTAATTAAGAAACGTAAAAATAAATAAATTAATTAACTAATTCTTGAACGTTAAAAATATGTAATAAATAGATGAAAAAATTTATTAATAATAATAATCTCTATAATAATAATAATGATTAAAATATTATGGAAAAATTACAACAAAAATATGTTATTAACTATTTCTTTTTTACATTTTATTAGATTACAGTACACAAAGTATCCAAAAAGTGACACAATTGGTGTGTAGTGGATGTCGGACGATAGAATTTAAATTTTAAAAAACTTGAGTTTTTTTTACAATATTTAATAAAGGAGATGTTATTAATCATAGTTTAGCTAATCTGCGCAACTCTTTAGATGGATATTATTTCTGTAAGTCACACGTTTGTTAGAATGCATAGCAAAGCATTAAGTACACTACTAAGTGCATAGCTCATACGTAATGTCCACCTAAAAAATGGTGCAGATTGGTTAAACTATGTTTAATATCATTTATATGACAATTGCTTATTTCTGGAACTTTGTGTATCTCTTTATATATTTTAAAATTTAAAATAATTTAACTAATTAATAAAATAATTTAATAAATTAATTTTACTTTTACTTTGAATTAATTTTTTCCAATTTTAATAATTTTTATCAAAAATAATAATTATATAATAATTAGTTAAAAGTAATAAATAAAACTATAAGAAAACAAAAATACCGATAATGACGTCAACAAATTTCATGTCTCTCGTTTGTATAGTATTTTTTTGTCCGGTCCATGAGAGTTTGTAAGCTAGATGATCAGTTAGAGTAAGTTTTAATGCGTTTCTCTCTCTCTCTCTCTTACATGTTGTTCCGCATCTTTTCTTCCTATAATTCTAATTATCCTTTTCTGTAACAAAATTTATATAATTTAACTTTTATACATGTATTTTTATTTTTTAAATTTAATTGACAAAGAGTACTTACATATTGTGATAAAGATACGGAGTCTTGTGTTATCAATTTATTAAATTCTTCTAGTGCCTCAGGCGTTCCAATCGGTAAATTCAAATTTATTGTGTTCTCTTGTGAAGAATATGGATGTATATCTAACAATAATTGTTAGATTGTAACCAATAATCGTGTAATTTTTTTAATGTTATTCTGACAAGCTCCTATTTAAGAAAAACAATGTGTGTGTGTGCGTGCGTGCGTGCGTGCGTGTGTGTGTGTGTGTGTGCATATGTATATAATTATAAATATGTGTACATATATTTTAATTAATTAATATATAGGAAGAGGCAATAACTATTGCCACCTTGGATATTTTCGGAAGTATTAGAGTAGGAGAAAAATTTGCTTAACAGAAATTATATGATATAGAAGATATTCGAGAAACCAATAATTATTACTTTACCTTATATATAACTATAGTTAAATCATATTTATTGGAATATGAATTAATAAAAATTTATTTTTATACACTTACTACAACATAATTTATTATGAGATTCTTCTTTTCTTGTGATATTTTTTTCAATCTTTTGTTGATTGGTTTTATTAGGTGTTCCTAAATAACAATTCCTCCAAGTTTAGGTTATTTTACGTTTTACTTGGGCTATGTCACTTGGGCTATGTCACTTGGCGCGCACAACGCGAGCGTTTATTATTGTTTATTATTCTTGACAACCGTGGATGCGTTTCAAAATTCACTGCCAGTACTGGAAATCTATAGTTTATGTTACGTATATTGTAGATTTTCAGTACTGGCAGTGAATTTCCGAACGCAGCACGTATCGAACTACCGGTTGTCATCGGTTCAAGAGCTTACTTACTAGAGACATCTATAAGTGGACATCATAAATTTTTTGAAAGACGTCTTATAAAAAGATAATTTATTGATATCATTTTTAAGAGATGTTAATGAGGTCTTCAAAAAGTCCTCTTAAAGAGCTCTTCCTCTTAATAATGCTCACTGGGTAACAAATGTAAAACTTGATTAAAGAAAGTTCGCTTAATTAAAAGTCACATTACACTCAATTTTAATATATATAGTTACAAATTATGTGCTTGAAATAATAAAGTTTTTACTTTTATTATTTAAATTGTTTACAATAATTATTTTTGTTATTTTAAAGTTAAGATACAAGAAACTGTCAATAATACGCCAGTTGATGAATTTTCTTAATGAAATTAATGAAAATATGATATTTGGATTGACATAACTTTTTTTTTATTAGCGTGCATTGCACTTTTACAAATATAATGCATCCTCAATTTATAAAACTCTATAACAATTTTTGTAATTAGATAAATGATATGCTCTTCTAAAGTGTTTTGATCATGATTTATCGATAACTCTAAAAAAATTTGCTTATTTAAAAATTTATTTATAATATCTTGTTCCTCTAGATTTAAAAGAATAATCCAATTTTAGCTTAGAAAACTTCAAACAGCTGCTGAACATTTATTATACAACAAGTTAAGATACAAAATTAATTTATAAATTATGCTTTTAATTCTATTCAATTTTAAATAGAATATATTATATACTTACGTATGAAATGTTTCCACACGTCCTTTTGTTTTTGCAAAGCCACATAAACAACAACTAACCATTTTATTCTTACTTAACAATTAAAATCTAAAATATTCTTAAATCTGTCACTCTCAATAGGTTTGTTCTTTTTCATTAGTCTCTGCTTGCTCTCGACAACATAACGTCACAACTTCGATTCATTGTATCGATAATCGCAATTGGTTCAGTTTTATGACGTCACATCTTTCGCACTGCTAACAAAGGATTTTCTCTTCC